CCCGTCAGCGAGGAGAGATTAAAAGCCTTTATTTTCAGCCCTTTTTCTGCTGCTAAGGTACGAGCAGAAATGGACAATAAAAGTGCACTTCAAATGCATCCTCTCTGCTCCTTTATTCGGCGCTAACGAAACTTATAGCTGCCTATGTCAGCCTCTTAATTACACCACTACAGCGATTTCCGAAAACATTTAGCTGCTGTATACAAAGGAAATAAACCCACATTGTCAACTCGAGAGCGCTCCGGAGTTTAAAAGGCTGCTCTGTAACCCAGCGAAATAATTATTGAAGGGTACGACGCCTCCGTCTTTGTCAGAGTAATTGTACTTGGCCTGTCAGCTCTGCTTTTCTCCGGGAGGAAATCCCACTCTTTTACTGCTGCAGGCTTTTACACCCAGGCCGGCTTTGGGCAGCACAAGCAGAAAGTTTCTGCGGGGTGGTAGCGCGGCCGTGCGCGCAGCTTGCGCGGGGCCCACCCTGACCCGCGGGACTCTCCTGCCCGTGCCTCGAGGGCTGCAAAGTTCCCAAAAATAATGGATGTGGGCAGGCTGGACTCGGCCGGCAGGGCAGAACAGGCAGCGGCGTTACAGCCCGGCAGACTGGGGGAATGGTTTTAATTTCCATCGCTGGGATCTGATTTCCAGAACACTGGAAATTATTCCCCATTCTCACCTTCCTCCCTATTCCCACAAAAGATTTTTAATAAATAGTAATAAAAAAAAAAAAGTCGTGAAATGTCTCTCCAGAAAAAAAAAAAAATTAAAAATTATGAAAAAAGAAATAAAGTTGATTAAATCCCAAGCTCTGTGTCTATAATTGCTGTGGTGCAACGCTGATAACACGTAGTTATCATCGGAAAAGTTGACCAAGACAGGTTAAATAATTTAATAAGGAACTGCTTGTAATTATGTTATTTACAAGGTATGACAGAGGTTTGAGGAAGAAACAGAAGCTGATCTCAGGGAAATGGACGGGTTTGGGTGACCCCTGGAGCATGGAGTTTGAATTATGGAGATGGGGGGCTGAGAGGTGAATATGGACTAGAGGAGAACAAGATGACTTTTCACCTCAGCACATTTAACTTTTAAATCCAAATAAACGTCTCGCGTTACTGGATGGTCGCGATATAAAAGAAAAAGGACTAATCCCGGCCAGTTTCGGAGTGTGGAGAAGGGGCTGCCCTTTCCTCACCGAGGAAAAATAAAAACCCAAAAAAAAAAAAAAAAAAAAAAAAAGAAAAAAAAATAAAGTTACAGAGGGGGGGAAAGTGCATTTTAAAATAAATCTGGGTAACTCGGTGGGATTTTTTTTCCCCCTTTCCTTTCTCCCTCACTAAATTAATTATATCAAACATCTGTTCCCATGACGTTGTCCTCCATGCCACACACACCACAGAATGATCTCAACGCTGCCTCGAAAAGCAGCAGCACACCGTTTTCTCTTCCCCAAATATCCTCCGGTAATCGGGGTCTCACTCAGCAGCTCCCCGATTTACTCGCTCAGGTAAATGAAAAGTGGGCGCGCTCCGCCGGTTTGCTCGCCCCCCACCCTCCCAAGCAAGGGCACAACACAAACTTGGGAACTCGCGTGGCAAGGAAAGCGTAAACTTTCTCACCTGTTTGGTCATGGAGTCTATTAGCCGAACGTACAGGTCCTGCTCTGTCCTAACTCCTGCGGAGGGAAAGCACAGACAAAATTCCGATCAGGATTTCGGGAGCGAACCCCCCCAATCCCACAAGGAAAGGATGAGGTCAGGCAATTAACCGCAGCGGGCAGGGATCGGCCCCGCGCCGGCTGCAGGGAAAAATTCAAATTTAAAAAAAAAAAATAATTAATAATGATAAAAATTAGCCAGGAAGCAGCCGGTGGCGGGGTTGTGCTGAGCCCGGTGCTCGGGGGGCCGTGGCCCAGCCACCCCCCCCGGCCGGGCTCGCTGCGGCCCCGGGGAACACGCGGGACCCGGGGCGCGGGCGCTGAGCGGCCCCCGCGGGTTTTCCGCGCCCGAGGAAGCGGCTCCGCCGGCCCGGGGCTCCGCTCTGCCCGCTCACCCCATCCCAATAATTACCATCAATTCCCAAACTAAAAAAAAAAAGTCCCTCAAAAGTGCCGCTGTGCCCGAGCAGCCATCGATCCCCTTTTTTACTTTCCACTTCAAGCCCAGCCGGTTAATCATGTGAAGTACCATTGACTTATCGATCCTTTATGTTTTGTTTTCCTTATATGCCAAGGAAAGAGCCGTGTTTACACGCGTGTAATTTTAATCTCGAAATCTTTATACCCTTTATCCCCCTGCTCCCCCCCAAAAAAAAGGCCTCGGAAGGAAAATCAGACTTTTCTGCTGCACACAGACGCTCAAAAATGAGAGAACGACAACTTACCATTGCTATACAATAACTGAAGTTTATAATGAATCCCATTGTTAGTTTTTTCATTGTTTGGCTCCTGCAAGTAACGATAAATAATTACATTTAGCATGAAAAATATCGCCCTCCTCCTGCTGCCCATTTTTCTCGTCCCTGAAGCGGCTCGGAATTAACAGTTTGCAGAAATTCAGCCCACGGTCACCTTTTTTTTTTTTTTTTTTTTTATTTTTTTTTTTTTCCTGGTGTGGAGCGCTGATGATGTCATTAGTTCGGTGCAAATATGTCATGTTTTGCCGTTTTCCCGGTGTTTAAAATAAGTCGGGGCCGCGGCGCTAAGTTTCTAACCCCGGGGTTTATTCGGAGCGGCCGTGAGACCGGGGGGAGCCGCACGTGGCGTGGGCGCCGCTGGAGTGCCGGGAGAGCTGCCGTGCTGGGAATGAGCTCTGCTCCACTCAATTACGCTTAAAAAATTTAGCGCGGGGCGGCCGGCGCCGGGCGGGCCGGGGGTGTGCGCGGCTGCGGGGGGCGGCCCGAGCCCTCCCGGCTCCGCGGCCCTCCTCCTTCTCCTCCTCCTCCGGCGCCAAGTCTCCCTTTTGTGTGAATTTACGGGGTGAGGCTTCAGTGATCCCCCCGCAAATTTGCATTTAAATAGCGACATCAAGCGATGCGCGTGCCACACACCAGCGGGCTCCCAGATGTCACGGCGGAGCCGCTCAGATGGCCGCAGCCCAGCTGTCCCCCGGCCCGGCCCCGCTCCGCGCCCCCCGGCCGGGCAGCCCCCGCCGCGCCCCGCAGCGCGTCCTCCTGCCCCGCACGGCGGCCGGACCCGGGCTAAAAACTGATCCCCTGCTTCCCGCCGCCCTGAGAGTATTCCCCGAAACTTTATTATTTTATTTTTTTTCCCCCTCGGGACAATCCCCTCGGGACTATTATCTCAATCATTTCACTTTTTTTTTTTTTTTTCTCCCCCCGTATTATTATTTCTTATTTATTTCTCATTTCACGGTTTAAATCACCCAAGTTGGAGAGCGTGATTTTGGTAATTTCGCTATTTCCTCGGCCGCGGGCCGGCCCCGAGCTGCCCAGCTCCGCGCTTCCCACCGCACAAAGTTTCCCAGCGGGAAGTTGCGGTGCGAGCGGGGAGCGGCGGCCCCGGCCCCGCTCTCGGGGGGCTCGGCCGGGTCCCCGCAGCTCGCCAAGGTCCGTATTTCAATTTTATTGTTGGAAGGCGCCTTCATTACCAACGAGGTGAGTTACACCGGGCGTAATTTATGCCCGGTGTAACCGATGCAAATCTCTACAAACTCCCGTGCTGCACGAGGGAGAATTTGGTGTTTTCGGGCAAATTGGTATTTTCTGTGTTTTCAGGCACGGCGGTCCCGCGGCCGCCGCTTCAGGCCGTTCATTCCCGGGCTGGCGCTGCCTACCGCGGGGGCGCAGCGCCGCGGGGCCCAGCCCGGCCCTTGCGCGGGGGGTCGCGCATCCTTGGCCCGGGGCAGAGGCCGAACGCGGCCCAGCGGCGGAGCGGGGCCGAGGCCGGGCGGTGCCGGCGCTGCCTTGGGGCTCCCCGGCCCCGCCGCCGGCCCAGGCCCCCGGCACGGGCAGGGGGTACGGGAAGGGCCGGGACCCCCGCGCCGCCCGCCCGCTCGCCTTTCGGGACGGATTCACCCGGGCCGGGCTCGTTTCAGAGCTTGCATTCGCATTCCTGAGCATCCCGGGCCCGCTGCAATGCGCACGGTGCGCTCCGGCCGCCCCGCGGGGCGCAGCCGGGCGCGGGGATGGCCGGGGGCCGAGCTGCTCCGCGCCCCGCGCAGGCACCGCAGGGCGGGCAGCGGCTCCGCTGGCTCGGGGAGGTTGTCCGTGTCCCTGTCCCTGTCCCTGTCCCTGTCCCTGTCCCTGTACTCTGCCTCTGGCCCTGCCTGGTGGCCCTGGGTCCCCTCGGCCGGCCGGTCGCGCTCCTCCCGCGCCCCTGCGCGGCTCTCGGCCAGGCTGCGCGGCCGCCTGGTGGGTCCGGCTCGGGGTCACGCAACTCCCTGTGGGTGCAGGGCTGTTTTACCCGAACTGGCTCTCGGCCCTGCGCTCCCCCCGGCGCGCTGCAGCGGCCGTGCGCCCCGTTTAAAAAAAAAAAAAAAAAAAAAAAAGGAAAAAAGAAAAGAAAAAAAAAGGCTTAAACTTGCGCCGTGCCCGAGCGCCAGCCCTGTTAGCCGTGCGCCCAACGGGAGCTTTTCCTCGGTAAAAACTCCCCGCGGGCGCTGCCCGGCTCCCGGCGGCCCGAGGGCGCGGCGCGGGCGCTGCCCTCCCGGTCCCCGCGGGATGCGGGGCCACGGCCCGGGGCTGCTGCGGGGCCGCCGTGTCTCTGTCCCCCGGGGCCCCGGGCAGGGGTTTGGGGCTGCCCGGAGCCGCGCGGGCGGAGCAGCAGCAGCCCCCGCGGAGGAGCGCGGGTGCGCAGCCGGGGCCGCGGGGAGCTGGCGGCCGGACAGGTCCCATCGTGCGGCGGGAACAATATCAACTGACTCCAACTGAACAAACAAGGATCGATCAGATAATTTCAGATATTATAATTGGCTTTAATTAAACACACTTCGTTCTAATTAACTCTGAAATTTTAGCATGCTTTGGGACGCTGGTGTCTGATTTGATATTGTCAGTCCAGATGTCCTAATAAAATTCAATCCTCCACTCAAGACTTCAATATTCACTAAGAACAAAATGCAAATTAAATGTAAAACCTAAAGTATCGCCAAAGGTATAATCAAGAAAGGTGTCTCAAAACTTCTCACTTTTTATTACGCAGTAGTTAGAAAATGCAGATTACATCCTAACAAGACCTCGACTGAATAATAGAAACCTTAACTCTTTCGTGGTCAGGGCTCGCTCTGCCCTGCAGGGATCCGGGAACATCCTCCTCCAGCGCACGGGAAATACCCGCGGCGCGGGGCTCCCGCACGGAGCGGCCGCGGGGAACCGGCGGAGCCCCGCGCTACGGGCTGCTCGCCCGCCGCACTGGCGGAGCAAAACTTGCCGCTGTCATAAGCACTTTTGTCCCCGAGGCGAGCGCGGCGGAGCCCCGGGCCGGCCGGGTGAGCGCAGCCCGCTCCCGCACGGCGGAGCTGCGGGAGAGCCCCGGGCGCGGCGGCGGCACCGGGCTCCGGCAGGGCAGCGCTGGCCCGGCGGGCGGGACAGGGACCCCCGAGGGGGACACGCACGGGGCACGGTCCCCTTCCCCTCGCCCCGAGCTGCCTGGCAATTTCCCCGCGAGCCGCAGCGCTCCTGTAAATAATTAAAGCCTCCGGAGCGGGGCGGCGGCGCGGGGAGCTGCGGGAGCCCGCCCGGTGCCTCCCCCGGCCAGTGGCCCCGGTGCGGGTCCCGGGGTGCCGCACCGGGGGACCCCCGAGCCGGGCTCGGCGCCAGCCCACCGCCTCGCCGCGCTCGCAGAGCTCCAAAAGCCGGGCTATTCCCACATTAAACATTTGTATGTTTTCCATGCTAATGGAGTCACTTAAAGCTGTTGCTAATTTAACTTTTTAAAAAGGCCACGGCGTGGTGATTTGCATTTTCTTTAGGATATTGAAATGAAGGGAAAACTGCTGGGCGGTGAGGCTGCCCCGAGCGTAGCTGGGGGCCATGCCGGAATGAAAACAGGGAAAGAAAAGAAGAAAGAAGGAAACCGCCGCTTCTTCCCGACTGTTAATAAGCAATTTGTCCCGCCGCGATTTACATTGCAAAGACAAACGTGTCGGGGCGCCCGGCCCGGCCGGGGCCCCCCGGGCCGCTCCCCCGCTCCGTGCTCCCCGACATCGCCCCCGCAAGCCGCGCTCCCGCATCCCGCCGGCGCGCAAGTCCCGCGGCCGCGGGCGGCCGGCGGGAGACCGGGGCGCTCCCCGCACCCCTCGGGCGTGAATTTCCAATGGATTTCCGAACGCCCCGGTCTGGGTAAACAACAAGTGCTGGGATGGCCGTTTCCCTCGGCAGATCCCCTCTCGCCGCCGCCAAGGCTCTGTAGCGTGGGGACCGTGTGCCATCTACAGGACACTGCGCGGGCGGCCGCGCTCCGCGCCCCGCCGCCTCCCGCTCCCCCCGCACATCCGCGGGCAACCATTGATTATTTGTTATTTCAACTTTTTAATTTTTAATTTTTTTTTTAACCTCGCGTTAAAAGTTTGAGGTGATAAAGATTGCGGCGCTGCCCGGGATTTTTAAACTTAATTAATTTTTAAAATTTTCTTAGATTAAAAGATGTGAAATGTAAAGATAATACGATTTGATTTGTTAGTCTAACTCCGCGATTTGAGAGTTGATGTCCCCAAAGACCGGGCTAGCTTTTTCCCTTTATTTATTTTTATTAAAACATCAATCTACTCTGGAGCTGGGTGAACTCAGTTTCACCTAGAGAACATAAAATTCTCCATACCAAGGAAATAAGCACCTTTCATAAATCAACAGTATTCCTGACAGATCGATCAATTTTTGGTTGTTAATCCGAAAGGAGGAGTTTTAATTGCTTTCTGCCTTTTAGCCCGGCCATCTCGGCGCGGCGGCTCCGGCAGCGCTCGGCTCTCCCCTCCTGCGCTCGGGAGGGGGGAAAAAAGCCCCGGAGACCCTTCCGCGGAGCCGCCACCCCGCGCAGGGCCGCGCAGCATCCCGCCGCGCTACCTGCGCGTCAGCTGCCGGGACGCGCAAAGCCGCCGGCGCGGCCGAGCCCCCGCGCGGCGGGACAGACGCGACCGTGCCGGGGCGCGCAGGTCCCGGGGGGAGCGCAGGGGGGCGAACCCCAGCCTCGGCCCGTCCCGGTCGTCCCGGCCCCGCCGCGCATCCCCGCGGCCGCCCCGCGCCCCGCGCTCCGTCCCGGGACGCCGCGGATTCCCCTCCCGCATCCCGCGGGGGCTGCCCCGCGCCCCGGCCCGCCGAGCCACCCCCGGCCGAGCAACGCAGCGCTCCAGAAACGCAACAGTTTGTCCCGCGGGGATGCGACCCCCGGGAATGTCCCGCGTGGGAACTCACCGCTCCTGGCTCCGCGGGACACGAGCTGCCGCCCGGGCGCCGCTCACATCTTTGCAAGTCTTTTAATTCCCCCGGCCTGCCGCGGCCGATGCCCAGCGCCCACCTCCTCGGCCATCCTGGGGCGGTTCCGGCGGCGCT